GCGTTCTCAGTAGCATGGCCTCAATACTTGTGATTGCTGCCTGTTCAAGAACAGATGTATTGGTCACATAATCTGACCAGTGGATGTTTAGGATTGTACGGAGGCAGCGTTGATGGAAGCGTTCTAGGAGACGCAGGTGGTGGCAGTAGACGACCCATGATTTGGAACCATATAAAAGAGTAGACAGCACTATGGCTCTGTAAACACTGATCTTGGTACTTTTCTTCAAGTGTTTGTTACGCCAAACTCTTTTATGGAGTTTTCCGAAAACACTATATGCCTTCACTAACCTGTTGTCTATCTCCCCGTCAATCTTACCATCCGAGGAGATGAGGCTACCTAGGTAATTGAACTACTGGACTGATTTGAGTTCTGATTGGCCAATGGTGATGTGGGGATGATGGAAGACTTCCTGAGGTGCTGGTTGATGGAGAACTTCTGTCTTCTTTAAGCTGACTTCCAGCCCAAAGACCTCAGCAGCGTCTGCAAAGCAGGATGTTAAACGCTGCAGAGCTGCTTCTGTGTGAGCAACAAGGGCGGCGTCATCAGTGTAAAGCAGCTCCCGGACAAGATGGTTTAAGATCTTGGTGTGGGCCTTCAGTCGCCTTAGGTTGAATAGGCTTCCATCAGTACGATATCGAATGTAGATACCATCCTGATCATCGAGGTCTGCCGTGGCCCTTTGGAGCATCATGCTGAAAAAGACTGTGAATAGGGTAGGAGCGAGAACGCAGCCTTGTTTCACACCATTGGTAATTAGAAAGGGCTCAGAAAGTGTGTTGCCATATCTGACTTGGCCGTGCTGATCCTCATGAAGTGAGATGATCATTTTAAGGAACTTGGGGGGACAACCTAAACGTTCCAAAATCTGCCAAAGACCTTTTCTGCTCACAGTATCGAAAGCCTTGGTGAGGTCGACAAAGGTTACATAGAGACCTTTGTTCTCTTCCCTACACTTCTCTTGCAGTTGTCTGAGAACAAATATCATGTCTGTGGTGCTCCTGTTGGCTCTGAAGCCACACTGACTTTCAGGTAGAATTCCTTCTGCTATAGCAGGTATTAGCCTGTTCAGGAGTATTCTTACCAGGATTTTGCCAGCAATGGAGAGCAGAGTAATACCACGGTAATTTGAGCAGTCTGATTTAGTACCTTTCTTCTTATACAAGGTGATGATGACTGCATCACAAAGATCTGATGGTAGTTCACCTAGTTCCCAGCAGCGCACCACGAGCTCATGAAATTTAGCATGGAGTGCAAGGCCCCCATGTTTCCAGACTTCGGGTGGAATTCCATCAACCCCAGCTGCCTTGCCAATTTTCACCTGCTGTATGGCCTTGAGGGTTTCTCCTTAAGTGGGGGCAGTATCCAATTCGTATTTCACCGGTTGTTGTGTGATGGACTGAATTGCTGAGTCTTGGACTATATGGTTGGTACTGAAAAGAGTTTGAAAATGTTCAGACCATCTATTCAGAATGGAGGTTTTATCTGTCAGAAGCGTTTGACCATCTGCACTGAGTAGAGGGCTTTGGACTTGGTATGTAGGCCCGTATGCTGTTTTCAGGACCTCATAGAATCCTTTATGATCCCCTGTATCTGCACATAGTTGAGTTTTTGCAGCTAGATCTATCCACCACTTGTTCTGGATGTCACGGAGTTTCTGCTGAAGCTTGCTGCATGCAAGACGAAAGACTATTTTTCTTGCGTGACAGGATGGCTGTGCAAGGTGTGCTTGGTGGGCAGTTTTCTTCCTCAACAAGTCCTGGATTTCTTGGTTGTTTTCATCAAACCAGTCCTTGTTCTTCTTGAGGGAGAACCCTAAGGATTCTTCAGAGGATTGCAGGATGCAGCTTTTAATATGATGCCAAATTGTTTCAGGAGAGGAATCTGCAGAATCTGTGGAATGGTTTTCGAGCCTAGTTTGAAGGTTTGCCTGGAATCTTTCTCTTACTGTGGTTGATTGGAGATCATTAACTTGGAGTCTTCCCCTTGGGATACTGCCCTTTTTGGGTTTGAATTTGAGATTGAAGTTGAGTTTACAGCGCACAAGTCGATGGTCTGTTTGGCATTCTGCGCTGGGCATCACGCGGGTATGGAGGACATCGCGGGCATCTCTCCGTCGCACCAAGACATAATCAATGAGGTGCCAATGCTTAGACCTCGGGTGCATCCAGGTTGTCTTCAGACTATTTTTCTGCTGGAAGATAGTATTAGTAATGGTAAACTGTTGCTCTGCACAGAATTCTAGCAGAAGCCGACCATTATCGTTGCAGTTTCCAACACCATGCTTGCCTAATATTCCTTTCCATGATTTAAAATTCTTGCCTACTCTGGTGTTGAAATCACCAGGGATAATGATCTTATCACCTGCAGGCGCCTTTTGAGTAAGATAGCGCAGGTCAGTGTAAAATTTATCTTTTTCAGCAGGGTCAACTTGGAGAGTTGGGGCATATATACTAAAGATGACCATGTGTTGCTTGTTGTTTAGTGGAAGGCGTAGGGAGATAATGCGGTCAGAATGGTCTGTTGGCAGATTTTCGAGTTTAGAGACAATGGAGTTTTTGATCATGAAACCGACACCTGAGAGATGTTTTTCGGTTCTGGGTTTACCTGACCAAAAGAGTGTGTAACCGGCACCATGTTCTCTGAGGCTACCTTCCTCATGAAGGCGAACTTCACTGAGACCAGCAATGTCGATGTTGAGATGAACCAGTTCATGGGCAATTAGGGCAGAACGTCGCTCAGGACATCCGCTATCCGCAGAATCGAGCGTGGTTCTGATGTTCCAACATGCTAGAGTTAATTTGGGTACACCTTTGGAGGCAGGTGCATGCCTGTGTCTTTTGCTCTTTGTGCGACCGCATTGGAAGAAGATGCCCGTTGGTCTGCGGTTAACCTACCGGGTGAAGGTGGAGATGAGCTTTGGTTAGGCCACCTTTTCTAGGCCCCTCTCCTAGTGGAGCAAGCAGTGCTGTCCTTGAAAAGGCTACTTGGTCGTTCAGGGTGCTGCCCCAAGAGACTCTCATCTCCAGTCAGTCTCAAATGACCAATATCCTGAACTGCCTGCATGCAGGGTTGAGTCTGCAGCTCCCAGTGCACCTTTCACCTACCATTTTGACCCTCGCCTGTCGCTACAGGACTTTTTGCATGTGGGTAAAACCTTCAAGCCTGCGCAATGGATTTTTTAGGTGAGATGCAGTATGCGCGGAACTGAACCCACCCTTTAATCCTAAGGTTCATCTGCCAGGGCCGAGCAAGCTTGGACGGTGGCAGCGAGGTCCTCAGGACGTAGGTTTGATTAGAGTGACCTTCTCTTAGATGGATGGCCTTACGGGGCTCCATCTGCCTGGGTTTGGGATGAGAGTTGTCCTTCTCCTAGGATAACTGCCAGAAGGCTAACGAGCTAACGAGCTAGAAGAACTAGACACAGATCAACAGGTAGAATATCAGGAAACAGATTATAAGTGGATACATGAAAATGAAGGTAAGCTGTTAGACAATGGGTGAGGTTAACTAAAAACAGGTCAGTTAATACTATTAAAAAAAATAGTGTCGCAATTTGTAAAAGTAAAACATGATAAAACTTATTGGGGCTTAGACTCACTCTGTTGGCATTTAAGGACCAGAGTAGCAGGACCAAATTTATTTACCACAACAGAGCAAGTCACATCCCAATGTGAACTTTGTCTGAAATACAAGGAACAAAAATACACCAAGGGGCAATAAGCAAAGGGCATTTCCCAGGTAAAATTTGGCAAATTAATTTCTCTGAGCTCCCAAGAAAAGGAGGGGGTCCTGTTATCTCTTAGTTTTGACTGACACATTTTCTGGATGGCCTGAAGCTTTCCCATGTAGAACAAATGAATCAAAAGGAGCGGTTAAAGTCTTGTTGAACGAGATTATACCACGGTTTGGAATGCCTAAGAGCATCTCTTCAGATAGGGGTTTACACTTTTGTGCACGAATTGTACAAGCAATAAGTAAAGCACTAAAAATCAATTGGCAACTGCATATGCCCTACAGACCCCAAGCAAGTGGGCAAGTAGAAAAGATGAATCATCTCATTAAGCAACAAATTGCTAAAATATGTCAAGAAACAAATTTTCATTGGTATCAAGCTTTACCTATTGCTTTAATCAGGCTAAGGGTCAAGCCGAGATCAAAAGAGAAACTGAGTCCATTTGAAATTCTATTCGGCAGACCCTACATGATGCAAGCTGTAAATAGTGAAGCTTTGGAACAAATCGGTAAGCAGTATGTGTATGATTATGTTATGGCTGTAGGAAAACAATTGCAGAAAAATGCTATGGTGTTAGAACACCAACCCAAGCAGCCTGATTGTAAATTACATCCATTCAATCCTGGTGATTGAGCATATGTTAAGAATCTTTCAGGCGAACCACTATGAGAGAAGTGGGATGGACCCTACCAGGTGCTGATGACCACCTTCACAGCAATCCGGGTGACAGAGAAACCCATGTGGATCCACTACTCTCGAGTCAAGAGGGCTCCAGAGGAAGCATGGACCTGGGGAGAGGAATTATCTACTCTCAAACCTTCTCAATGCTGACCTTTGGACTGATAAGTACACCGGTGTTATATCAAGCCCTTGCCCAGAACTCATTATGGTCTCAGACCTATAATGGGGTCTCTGATCTATTATTTTATTTACAACCAGATCTTCTGCCTCAGCCAGCCCAAATGAAACAATACAATGCATCTGTTATAGTCCTCCAAGGAACGAGGGTACTGAATAATTGGTAAAATCCTGATATCTTATACGATGTAAGTGTTTTAATAGGCACAGGTTAGATGGTCACCCAAAATTGACATTACTGTGAAACGTAATTAGTGGCTGATCAATGTTGGCACACTTTCACTCTAGATAAATCAGTTTCTGTGATGTGTCAGTGGACATTCAGGGAAGGAAATATAACCAGGAGATTTCCAACTACCAAGTCTCCTACCACCCCATTGACTAAGACCACCACCATTTCTACAACTCCTTCTTTAACCTGTGAGAGTGTCCACAATTTAACTTTTGCTGGACCTTACGTAATTAGAAAATCAAATGAGCAGAAGCTACTGTTAGATCCCACATATTCACTGGAAAGAGTTCAAATAAACATTCAAGTAAACATATCACATATACAAAAAGACTGTCAGCCCTATATTCGGCAAAGTTAAGAGGGCTGGAATGCATGGTTTGGCACAGGATTAGGTGACCTAAACACCATAGACCAAGAAGTGTTAATGCATAAACTAAGTGCCATCACTTCTGATTTGGGAAAACTCAAAGTCCCTTTAAGATCATCTTTGCTCACTGTGGCAGAAACACAATTGTTGGCAGATTGTTGAACTTCAGGAATGCTGCCACAAGAAATAAGAGAAATAATATCTAGAAACAGTTCCACTACACAATTTGAGAAAAATTACCAAGCGTGGTGGCAGTTAGTGAACTTCACTTACAGTCCTCAACATGAAAAAATTGAAGTTTATGTACTCACTATCAGTGCAGCCAAAGAAAAGACCATCTTTCCTATCTTGACATTAGGAACCATACACCAAAACATAATTATCAGACCCATAGGCCATAATGTTTGGGCAAGTTACGATCACACCAAGAAAAAGTGGCAGTCAGTCAATACTGAGGCATGTATTCCTAAAGGACAATTAGGATATATCTGTGAAAATGCTGTAGTAGAAAATGAAGATTTATGCTTAGATACTGAAGATAGTGTGTGTACCTTTGAAATGCTTCCCCATACTAAAATCCAATCACAAGTCTATTACATAGGAAATGGATGTGCATGTGTTAGAATCTTTTGTGTTAATTTTACCATAGGTACTTGTCATGAAGTCGTGAGTGGTACTAATTTTTTGTTTTACTAAAATAATAGGCTGTGATTTTAACTATACAATTCCAATAACTACTGAGCAATTAATTGAAAATGATTATTTGTTTTATCACGATGTACCTAAATTACAAATAGGGATAGACATAAGTCTTTCCAAAAGATGCTTAAACACCCGGATAGAGAAAAGGTGGTGCAAGAGGTAAATAAAACACAAAGGTAGAGCAAGTAGGAGAACATCATTGATAGGACATCTTTACAGGGTACTCCCCTACAGCATCACAAGTTGTCCTAGTTAGAATGGCTGAGACCAATTCATCACTGGATGGGTGTAACCCAAAACTGTGTATTCTATAGCCTTCCATGCCATTTCCCAGAAACTGTTATCAGTAGAGGCCTGCGAGATAGGAAGATGTTCCTGTCCTCATACCCTTTTATGGAATTCTCCGCTCTGAGGGAAGGACTGAGCATCCTCATACCCTTTTATGGAATTCCCCGCTCTGAGGGAGGGACTGAGCATTCCCGCCTGAACTGGAGAATATATAAACTTGGAGTTTCGGAACCTTTTTACCACTCGTGGGATCCAGAGGAAGACTGCAGCTCACCGCTCTCAACCAGACTGAGACCACCACCCTTGACTGGACTGCAATCACCACTTTCTGACCAGACTGCAACAGCTCTCCCACCAGCAGGTTTTTCCCCTCTCCCTTTACTTTGGACTCGGGGGGAGGGGGGGACCAAGGAACACCACTTTTGTTCATGCCCCAGGGTGCTGGGTTATACATTTGGGTTTTGTGGGTTAAAACCAATTGTCTGTCTGTATAATCGAACTTATTGTATTATTTTAATAAATTGTTATTCTGACTTATAATCTCTCTTTTGAGTTGAGTTCATTTCCCCTGCTGGTTAACTTTTAAACCAGCACATTTTTGGCGCCCAACGTGGGGCAGAGAGAGAAGTCAGAATCACAATTTCATTTCAAGCATTTGTCTATTTGGATATAGAAACTCCCTGATCACCATGTTGTTTGATGCATTCACGTAGATGTTGTATCAGAGCATGTTCATATTTCCACAGATGGGGAACTATTTGCCTGTTTTAATGCTCTCTTTAAGACCAGGGAGAGGGATCCAAATGGCTTTATTAGTATACTATGTTTATGTCATCATAACATCAGAAACAGTGAGTTTCATTGTAAATGTGTATACAGTCTTGTTTGCCTGCTCCGTGATGCCTTAAACCCCAATGGTTTTCTTATTTTTCTACCTTGTAAGTTTTATAGGTAATAGAAGTGGATTTTAGAAACAATCCCTTTCTCCCTCCTCCTGTAGTACCCCTTAGTTTATACATTCCTTAATCCTCTTACCCTATTCCCGTATCCAGTAGAAAATGTTTAGTCTCTTAGTCAAGGCAAGCCTGTCTTGTTTGAGGAACGCTTGTATCTTGGCCTAAACCGCAGGACAGAGTCAAAGAACTGGGTGACTCTGCTCTCTGTACCCCGAAGATGATGAAGGATGATGAAGAGGGGGTCCCAAAAAGCCCCCCGACCCAATTCCAGGAGGTGGGTCAGGGGGTGGACCAGGCCAAAAGTTATAGGGTGGACACACTTGGGATTGGCCAGATGTTGTTATAAATGTAACATCTCGGGCACAGCCCGGGGCGCGCGTCGTTTACCATCTATTGCCTTGGCACAATTAAATCCTTTCCTTATCTCACCCTTACTAACGGCTCCTAGATTTTTTTTTCTAAGCACCAGCTGAGCAGGCATCACCTGGTTTAGGTTGCTGCCTCTGGGACCTCATTAAAAATCGCACCCAGCCCTTTGGGGGAACAGTGGGGAATGGTTGTTTCCAGCCTCTCACCTCCTTTTTCCCCTTCAGACCTGCTACAACAGTTTTTGAAAATATTGAGTTCCCTTTTGATGTTAAGGACAACATAATGTTATTGTTAGTGTTGCTCTGTCTGCTCTGTACTGTCTACACCATGTTTAGGGTCAGAACAGGGTCTTCTAGGGAGGTTGTTTGGACGCCTGTCCTGGGAGTGGATAATGCTGAGTGGCACGGGAAGTGGGAGGACATCGGACAGTATTTGGAGAAGTTTTCTCCTCCAATGATCTGGAAATTCACCCCTGAACAACTGCAGGATCCTGTCAGCATGATAAGACTGGTGAAGGGAAAATGCTCTGGCAGCTCCAGAGATGGCCACCTCACAGTAACCTGCTGGGCCCTGGCCACTGCCTACCGGACACTGCTTGACATGGTACAGCACTGCCAGGGGGAGGAGAGAAGGAGCAAATCCACAGGCACCACGTCCACCCAAACCACAGCTGAGTCAGAGGGAGAAAGAAAGAAATCAACCGGCACCATGTCCACACAAACCATCGAGGAGCCAGAAGGACAACCGAAACCAATAGCAGTCGCCCCTGTCCAGAAAAGGAAATCAAAGACTAAATCAGTCCGTATAGCAAATGATGACGAAGAGGCAGGACCTTCACATCCACCGGAGAAGACAGAGCCAGAAATAATCACTCGGTCCCTATGCCTGGGTGAGCTACGTGAGCTCCGGAGAGAGTTCACGCGACAGGCGAATGAGTCCATCCTGACCTGGTTGCTCCGAATCTGGGATGCCGCAGCTAACGATACAATTCTAGATGGGAGTGAAGTAAGACAAGTGGGATCCCTGTCTCGAGATGTAGTCATTGATCAGGGGATTGGAAGGAGG